TAATTTCTATTGGGGTATGGGGCGATTTTTGAATTCACAACAACCGAAGCTATATGTTTTGTTTCTCTAGAATTCGACTTCAAGTCCTGAAGTAATTAAATAACCATTTTATTTCTTTTGAAAACTTGATTATTTTCTACATGTTATTGCACATGAAGGCACTGTATAATTAAAGTCTAAACGTAAGTCTAACGTCTAAGTATCTAAACGAGAATTTGTACATATGGTCGCCGGGCATGATAACCGCGCACCGGTTTATATATATCACGGATCACATGTTACAATATATTACTATACCCTAAATTACCAAATTAACCCTACTTTATAACTATACTCTACATTAACTAATTAACTAAAATGTCGTGCCCCGGGAAGCAATATATCTGAGTGGAACAATGTAACGGCTGGTGTTCCTCAGGGAGGAGTCCTCTCTCCTCTTCTCTTTGCGATCTTTATAAACTCCCTAACCTCTCGTCTTGCATTTGTATCACTTGTTTGCTGATGATTTCAATTTCCCAATCTTATTGAAGTCTTCCTTTACTATCCAGGGACAAATGATATCTTCGTAGAGTGGTGTAAAGTTTTTGGCCTCAAAATCAACCTTTGAAAAGCCAAATTATGTTATAGAATTCTCGAGATAGATTCCCTGTTTCAATAGAAATGTAGCTCTCAACTTTAGTAAATCGGTAAAAAATCTTGGTGTGTACTTTGACCAAACCTTCTCCTGGGCGTGCATGTTGAGCAAATCAGTCGTAAAATATATCCGCTTGAGAGTTAGACGACTCAGCAATTTCCTTCCCATTCGGACTAAAACTACTCTAGCACAAACCCTTCTTTTACCACTGCTTGACTAGCTGATGTAGTCTACGGAATGAATGAAGAACTATTAGATAAGCTGGAACGTCTGCAAAATTTCTGTATCCGATTTAATTTGGATACGAAAATTCGACCATATTTTGCGTTTCGTAAAAAGTTAGGGTGGTGTCCATTGCCTTCGGCGAGACTCACAGTCTTCAGCTCCTATACTCTATTCTCTTCGCCCCAAATCTCCCCCTTATCTTAATCTAATTTTAAATATTTGGGTCCCTTGGTAGTTATAGTTTACGAATGGACCGTCATATTCTTGAGGTTCCTTCTCACAGCTCCAATTTCCAAGGTAAATCCTTTCAAATTACTGCGATCAGACTATGGAACGCCTTACCCGTTTCCATAGTGGCCTTCTCTCCCATCATTTAAACGGCTGCTTTATAAACATTTCTGTCATCTGAGTAAAGTCACTATTATTTATTTTAAAATTTAGTCCCTTCGTTTAAGTTTAAACATGTAACCTTTTTAGATTGTATTTTTTATTTTAAGTTCTGTGTTTTTTTTTTTTTTGTTTATGATTATTTATTGTTTGTATTAATTTGTTTCGCCTACCTTGCACATCTCAATTTCTTAACATTTCATAACTTAAGTTGCCTGAGAATCGCTTGTTAGGTAAGGCCGCCCATGCTCTCCATTCTGGTTTAATTTGTAATATTTTTATTTTTTGTGCAATAAAGAATAAATATAATAAATAAATATCTAACAAAACGGCGGGATCGAACTTGCGACTGGTAAAATACAAGTTTACAGAATCACAAGAGATTGCCTGTCAACGTTACGTGATACTTAAATAGTAATAACATAATATTAAAGTATTTTTCATAATTACTAAAAACTATTTTATTTTGTAAAAAGATTGGTATATTACTAGTCTAGTCGTAAATTTGCTATTGTTCTTTAAATATTTACTAAATTAAAAACTGAACACATAAAATATGTACCCATAATTCCATACCCATAGTTCTAAGGTACTGAGTTACGTATATATAGATTACTAGCTGTGCCCGCGAGTTCGTCCGCGTGGAATAGTGACTTGGAGTAGAATTTTTAATTATTGAGGCTGTTTTTTAGTTTATGTGCATGCATTTAAGGCAGCCAATCTATGTTGTAAGTGCTACTTTGCCGTACATCACTTCTACTCTAACTCCCACTCTCATTCCTTCACTTACTCCCAGTCCCACTCCTATTTCAAAAACCGGAAATTCGTGGTTTTTGAAGCTTTCGAATTTCCATACAAACTTTCATCCCCTTTTTCAACCCTTATCTACCCTTTTTTGGCATTAAAAAGCCTATGTCCTTTCTCAGGCTCTAAAATATCTATGTACCAAATTTAATTTAAATCAGGTCAGTAGTTTCGAAGTTAAAGCCGGACAGACAGACAGACAGAGTTACTTTCACATTTATAATATTAGTATAGATACTGTAGAAGATTTATAGCTAACATAAAATAAGCAAAGTAAGCAAGTCCTCCAACAGTTTCCCTGGGACCGAGATAGATTGGCTGCGATTTTCATAATTACAGCTACTGACAGTGTAAATGACCTAATCAGCTTCGTAGAAAACCTATTATGCGATGTCCATCAACAGCTTTTTGGACACTTTTAACGTAGGCTAAGTAAGCAGAATTGATAATACTGAAAAACACATGCTTAAACGTTAGTCTAGTGCTTCGTTCTCTCGACGAGGTTCAGAGTTCCAATCTTGCTTCGGAACCCCCGTGACGACTGCTGCAAGGCATCCGACGCCGTCGGGCCGTACGGAGAATAAATAAGATAACTAATATATGTCGTATCTTAATTCGTTAAAATTGTTTTATTTATAAGATTCTTCTATTAAATCTATGTTATAAGAAAAAATGTCACTACTAAAGGTTAACTCAAACGTCCGTATCGATATTTTAGTTTACGTGGCTATTTTTTATAGCCACACGAGTCACACGATATCGTAATATGTCTGAAGCATGGGAAGAACACATTTCTGTATCCGTTTCACACATTGATTTTCCTAAATTGAATAATTGTAACTTCTGTACCATATCCAAGCGAAACAGTACCGTTTCCTAGGATTCAAACCTTAGACTTCTCTTGCGTAAGGCAATACGTTTAACCACTGATCTCTGAAGGCGTTGGATACACTTCTAGACTTAACAGACAGTGCCAAAAGCGTGACCTACCATACAAACCACCAATTAAACTAAAGTCATTTAAGACAGGAAAGGTTGAGGCCAGCCAAAATGTTCCCGAAGTAACAGTCTCGGCACTTCCAATTCCCTAAGGACGGTTAATCTCAAACTCCCACATGCGGGTACTTTGGGGTTAATGCTTGGGGCCTTTTTGCTCGTCACGTTTGTTTTGATTACGAGAGAGTTTCGCAGCGGAAATACGTTTCTCTCAAAACAATTACTGTTATATTGAACGAAATATTACCGGCGAATGGAAGCTAAATATAGATTTATTAAAACGAAAATGAACAAACTCTAAAGTTTTTTAAAGGGTAAACGTTGAGGCCCAGCGGTGGGAACTGTTATAAGGTCTACTAGTTTTATTACATTATTTTTTAAATATATAAAACTATAGGTACTTTAGTGGGAAAATATCAAGATCTTAATTCGTTTGTGATTCAATGATTTTTTTTATTTAACTCTAATTGTATACGCAACTTCGTCCGCGGCGTATAGTTATTATGCATAATATTACTTATCCAAACCAAAAAGATTTATAAAGTATAACTTTTACCCACGACGTCCATGCCGCGATGTTCTTGCGAGTTCATCTTAACTTTGGTTAAAAAAGAGGAATGATTCTCTCATATTTCACACATATTTTTTTGGTTTGTTGAACCGGTTCCGAAGCGCACCCAACGGAAGCCAATTCTTCTCTGATGTTTCGGTCTTTTAATGTTTTTAAATGTCTTCTTCTCAAAACAATATTTTAATTTGAACCACTAGTTCCTGAGGTTAGCGAGTTTAAACAACCAAACAAGTTTTTCAGCTTTATAATATTGGTATACGTTGTTTCGCTGACACCCAATTCTCGGTTGTCAGAGTCATTTTGACAAAATTATGAAAATATTTTCTGCATATCTACTCAAAGGATAAAATAATTAAACAAACGGAACGACTTTTATAGACATAAAAACTATATCGTTTGTAAATTATTTATTCAAGCTTTTGGTTAAAATTAAATTATTTAAATGAATATATATTAAGAATCTCTGTCGGCCATTGCTATTCCCGTAGGCATTGTTCAAAATGACAGATTTTGTGATGCTTTTCGAACATTTATTGAGGTCGAAAAATTGGATTAAAATTTTGACATCAAAAAAGGTTGAATGAACACCGAAGTGATTGAACTGGTCTCTCAATATTCATGAATACTGGTATCTGATTAATATTTTTTAAGCATCAAGTGTCATTTTTTATATTAAATGGGAGATTATATGAAATTAAAATAATCATAACACTACAAACTACAATTCAAAGTATTTATAGAATAAGTCCTGTGTTTATAACTAATAAAGTTAATTAATTAAAAATAAACTTATATACTTGAAATAGTATTCCGGCACGTTTGACGATTTTGATCGACTATTTGGCCTAATGAAAGCAATTTATGGGTATAATCAACGGGTCGTGAATTCGATTCCCACTCTAACATTGTTGTCTAACATTTTTCTAAACAATTTCTAATGTTGGACTTTCCCTGGAAATCTGGATATTAAATGTCTGGTTTCCAAACCACTATCCACAGATGGAAAAGCATCGCATTTCCGTTTCAGTCTATGGATTTCAAATCATTGACTAAAACGGAGTGTTTTAAAAAAGTATTTGAATAAGGAAACAAAAATAAAAATTAACATTAAGATATTTAAAAACATTTTTTCACGCATTGCACATGATGGCACTCTATAAATTAAAAATCAGTTTTAGATGCAAGTTTGAAATTACAATACAATACAATGCGAGGGAAGTATCAATAAGTTGAAAAAAATCAACAATTAAAATTGGTTACAAAAGAGAAATAGCGGTTCGAGTACTATTTTTGATTCAATCTAAAATCGATTTTTAATTAACATTAAGATAATAATTTCATCAGCATTTACGCCTATATTTAAATCAATTAATATCTTTACAGAACTCCCTCCGGAGAAGCCCTCAATCAAAGCAGAAAAAGGATGGTATGCCTCGGGCGATTCCTTGCGAGCGCAATGTATCTCGCCACCCGCTGATCCACCGGCTAACTTGACTTGGCTGCTGAATGGAAGAGATGTAAGTATTTTTTAAATATTACATTAGTCTTCGTGAACTGGCGTGCTATGAATTTAAACGAATTGTTTCATATAACAAAATGAATTAACAGCGTGGTAGACAGTTGCGGCTGTACCTTAAGTGAACATGAACCATCAATTCAAAAGACAAAAATAAAATTTAACTTCATTTTTATTTTTTTAAATAATTATCATGTAAACATACATTTATGAAATTAATTTCCAATTATTGTAAAAGAGTTTGAGCGATTTACAAATTAGCAATACGCGTGAAACAATTAAAGATAGTTCATAGAAAAGAATTGGTTCTCGAGTGCCGCACGAGTGCACGGCCCGAGAGTGGTCGAGAGCACCCGATGTTTGACCAATTTTGACAAAAATGTGATTAAACATTTCGCTTAAGAAAAAAGTCGTCTAATTGATTTAATGTTTAAAAAAAAACATATTTTATGTCAATTGCAGTTTTGTTAAATAGAAAATTCATTTTAATATTTGGCAAGTACCTAAGTAAAGTGCATCACCAATCCCGTAACCCACCAGCCGCCACTGGTGGTAGATTAATCATGAAATCCTTATCATCAGTAGTATAAAGGACTAATGATGTTAAAAACTCATTGATGAAATCGTATAAAGTGCTGTATATATCTATGTGAAAGTCGGGAGTGTCTGCAAGGGAAAATTAAGTATTTAGTAAAATCAAAGCATACAAGGCTTTATTTTTAAATGATTCTGTATTGAGTTTTCAATTAAAAGTTTAAAAGCCTTTAAATAGAATACACTTTTTGAGTTACAGCAGTTTTGTAAAATTATACACTTAAGTGTACTAAATGATTGGAGTAATCCCTTTTTTCAAAGTCGGTTAAAAGAACAGTGCTTTACACATTTGTAGCTTAGAAGTGAGAAGGTACCAGAGTGAGAATATTATATTATCTTCATAAATGAATGAATTTGAAGCCGGTCAGATGTGTATGTCTAGCAATAATTATATAATTTTAATCATGTCTCACTCAAGCCTTCATTAAGCCTGCACCGGTTATAATTATCAATTAGTTCCCGCTGACGTCATCGCTGACGTCTGACGTGACGTCATGACAGCCCGTGACAAATGAGAGGCTTTCACTTCGCCATCGGTTAAAGAAAGGTTTTAATAAATTCAGGGAATAATTAGACGCCAGATGAGGGTCGAATATTAGAATCGGGAAAAATATTAAGATTGATTGATATCAGAAATAACACCGCGTTCGTTATTACGGATTGTGCTCTGCAGAAAGTCTGTGCTTTGTATAAGAACTTACTGTGATACTTTGTTAAGTAAGAAGCATACTCAGCATACTTTTCACGCTTTTTTATAAGGAGATAAATGGACTAAATTAGTCTAAAAACGATACTGAACTTGAATTTTGCTTTTTTGTTACACTAAAACGTACTATAAACTACTTACGTTACACCCGTGACCACGGCTGCTGCAAAGCATCCGAAACGTCGGGCCGAAGTTAAAAATCATTTCCATATAAGTTTAATTAATATATCGCGTTTTAAACCGTTAAAGTGTTTTATTTAAATGTGTACTACTCGCGTAAACTATAGACAGTATTTACTTGTATACGTTTGTACTTTTTTTTATTTCTTACTCATCACATACGATGCTCAAATGTTTAATGTATTACTAAGCATTGTGATAAATATATAGATCATACAAGTATGATGTCTCAATCGTCTCTAAAATAAATACTTTTATCCGATGAAAACGCGAAATATGCTATTTTTTTAAATAACAAAACAAATACCTCGTATAATACCGCGTGTTAAGCCGTCAAAAGTGTTTTATTTCAATGCGTCATAATCGCGTAAAGTACAGACAATGCTTAACAAGCAGTTAATAAAATTCAGTACACATAAACCAAAATGTGTGTATCTCATACCCTCATATAGGAAAGCGGGTTAATTTTTATATTCCTCTACGAATTGACCTAACGTAAAGTACTTACGACGTGAGTACGACTACCGTCTGTTCGATTAAAATTTTCTTGATGTTTTTTAAGTCTTACTTGTAGCAGAAAAAAATATAAATAAATTTTGCTCATTAACCGTTGATTATCGACATTACTGATAATTATAAAAAATGTTCTTTAAAATTAATTTTTCGTTGTTTAATATTCGTTTATTGCTTAAATAATCCAAATGTACAATGTTCACATATAAGTATTCAATTTTAAACCCGTATGATATTTATGAGCAAAAGTGGTTTTACTCTGCATGAGAAAATGCTATTTTATTTTCCGGGCTCATCCTCTCAATTTATGAATTGAACTAATGACCGTGTGATCATTATTTTTTAATAAATAAGTATGATTCCATTATTCCAAAACTTTATTACTATCCTAATTCAGGGAACAAGAAGGAACATATAAATAAAACACCCTTGAACGGTTTAAAACGCGAAATGTATTATATAAATTATGTACAATATGTCTTTCTTGTTTATACCGCTAAAAGTGTTTTTAATGTCTTCTCTCGTTAACTACAGACTATATTTAAAGAAGAAACAATTAGTACACAATCTTCTTCTACTTCTATTGAATTCTAGTGGAACACGAATGTTTAAACAATTATTTACTTTATAATAATTAATTACTAGACTAATAATAAACTAGTAATTAAGTAAGTTCCTCGAAAAGTAATGACTAGTTATTAACTACTGTCTATAGTTTACGCGAGTAGTACATATTTAAATAAAACACTTTAACGGTTTAAAACGTGGTCTCCCCGCGACCACGGCTGCTGCAAAGCATCCGAAACGTCGGGCCGAAGTTAAAAATCAGTTTAACTAATATATCGCGTTTTAAACCGTTAAAGTGTTTTATTTAAAAGACTAGTTATTATTTTATCTGCAATTGTGTATTAATGCACTTCTAAGTACAAGTTAAACTTAAAAGCGAAGTTAAAATAATCATTTTTCACGAGTTTAAAATACTTGTTTAACACCGCGTTTAATGTTAATCCTTAGTCGAACTTATTTCAAAACATCGCAACATTCCGTTGACAATAAAACTAAACTCGCAGCGCAAACTTCAAAAACACGTTCACTCCGAAAGATTTCTTTCGACTTCACTGAATCGAATAACAAAACGTTCACGAATACTCTATTTTCGATTCGAATATGTTTATTGATGTGGAAATAATCAACGTGTACGCTAACATGCGAGACATTGAAGACGAGTTTAAAATTCTGTTTTGTGAAGCCTAGTTTACATAGCCAGTCATTCAATGTGAACTAGGTTTTACAAAACGCGTAGTTAGCGTCTGTAATGGAAAGTGTATTTAATAGAGGCTTTTCAAGTAGATATATTAATGATGAAGAACTTAATATTTGAAAACTTCAATATCTGCGGTATGGCAACACTCATCGGAAGGGTCAGATCACTACATTCGCTTTGACCATCCAAAAATCCTCGCAAAGGAGATTCGGAAAAAAATGTCAATACGGGAGGACGGCCTCAAATTATCTTACACCTGGGAGCCCATTTTAAAAACTCTGGATTCCAATAAACAGCATACCGGCAAACGCGAAGACACCGTTAGTCAGTTCTGCAAGGACCCGGCCAATTTCGCCAAATACCAACTTCGACGGAACAGATGGCGCTAGCGTAGCAATTTTTACTTTGACGTCAGAGACATCCTCCATCTTTAGTCTCCCCGTGACCACGGCTGCTGCAAAGCAATCGAAACGTCGGCCGAAGGAAAAAATAATTGTTAAATAAGTTTAACTAATATATATCGCGTTTTAACCATTATAGTGCTTCATTAAAATGTGTACAACTCGCGTAAGCTACAGTATTTAACTTTAATATTTTTCACATGTTACTGCCCATAATGGCATTATATAAGTTAAAAAATATATATTTAATTTCACGGGTGGGACTTAAACCGTTATCCGTAATCTCGGGGTTAGAGCAACAGCACAAAACGCTATGGACGATGGTTCAAGTACCGCCCGTGTCGTAAGTTTTTATTTTATTTATATGACAGTTATAAATTATGTCAATAATTAAACGAACTACGTTTAGGAGTGAGAGGGAAAGGAGATTTCGGTTTGAGTCCTTAAAAAAATGTTTCGGTCAGAGAAAAAAAGTCCAACCAATGACGTTTGATATAAATGAAAAAGTTAAAATTTATTATTTTTTACATTTGTTGAATGAGGCACTATATAATTTAAAAATTGAAAAAACAGGGACTCATTGGAGAGAACAGCACGGACCTGACAGCCCTTCAAGTCCGCAGTCGAATTTTTTTCAATTTATTTTCGATTTTTAAATTATAAAGTTACTTTCAATATACATTAATTAAAATAAGAATTTACATATTTTTTATGCATTTTAGATGCACTACAGTACACCTAGTTGGCTTTTGAATTTTTGTCAGTGTCGCATAAAACCTAACTTTACTTTCTACTCATATATATATTCAAATACTGTCTATTTGTAAAAAGTTACATTTTAATATTCATTTATATCAGAACGGATGTATAGTCATGCCATATCTACACCAAACTCACTTTAATAATCTACAAAGTGTAGACAAAAGTAAATAATTTTAAAATAAATGAGTTACACTGAAAAGTATCCTGAAAGTGTCAGTACAAGTAGTAAAAACGTTATTTATCTATCTCCTCACCTTTAAAACAAATTTCATAAAACACATTAAACTGTTTAAAATGCGTACAAATTTGCGTTGATTGTTACCATGACTGCCGTTAAGACCAAAACTAAAAACAAGTTATTTCGTATTTCAAACCGTTAAACGTGTTTAAATTAACGTGTAAACTGACCGCCTCTGTAGCTAAATAGTTAAACGTATTGCGTTAAGCGTGAGAGGTCCTGGGTTCGAATCCCAGGGAAACAAAAAGTTTTTTCGGTTGGGCAGAGCACAGAAGTCAGATCAACTACTCACCTGATCGGCGAAACAGACACAGAAATGTGTTCGCGCATGCCTCACGAGGGG